ATTTCATTTATGTTTAGGGAGTACAAAGAGAGGGAGAGCGAGAGCGAGAGAGAGGGAGTCAATGCTTATCATTTGCCATTTTTGAAATATTTGCAGGGTTTTGTTTTTGTTTGGAATTGATTTAAATTCTCGAAAAAAAACTGAGACGCAACAAATTTTTTTTTCAGGCAACAATAAAAGCCAACTGCTGAATATAAATCACAGCATTTTGGGCGTAGACAGAATGAGAGTTGATTAGTTTTTTATGACTTTTAAAATTAGGCTATAACTATTTTTATTTTGCTACGTAATTTGAGAGGTTTTTTTTTAGAAAGGTCAGTAATTTTTAGATTAAGGGGAACTTTCAAAAAATCGCAAAGTTTTATTTTAAAGATGAATTTGGTGGATAAGTTGAAAAGTGCCTCTTAAGGGATGCTCAATATCGATCTGGTCATATGAAGGAATTACTCATATTATATTTGATGCAAATTTTACAAATTAGTATATTTTAATAAAAGAAGTAAAAAAGCAGCAAGTTCGGCAGGGCCGAACGTTGAGTACCCTCCACCATTTGAAACGATTTTGGCAATTCTCAAAAACAATAAAATCCGTTAAAAAATCTGTTAAAATCTTAAAAATACCGAATGTAGCTATTATATTAGGGTCTATACGACGACATGAACCTGCGTAGGTAACACTTGTCATAAGCCATTACAATATTCAAATACGAAACTTAAAAAATCGGTTATAATGTCGATAAAATCAAAATAACGAATATCGGGAGGTACCGTTCTATGGGGGCTCTACGAAGAGGTGAACCTGCACAGACAATTTTCTGTCGTAGGCTGTAGAATCCATTACGAACTTCAAATATCAAATTTGAAACAATTCCGGGGGAAAATGACCCTAAAATCATTAAAATACCGAATATCGGGAGGTACAGTTATATGGGGGCTATACGAAGACGTGGACCTGCACAGACAATTTTCTCTCGTAGGCTGTAGTATCCATTACGAACTTCAAATACCAAATTTAAAACAATTCGCTAAAATCATCAAATCGCTAAAAAATCAACCGAATATCGGGTGGTACAGTTATATGGGAGCTATACCAAATCGTGGACCTACATGGCCCATTTTCCATACCAAAAGTCCTGCAGACATAAAATACATTTGAGCAAAATTGTATAAATCTACTTCAATTCGTTCGGAAGCTAGAGTGATTTCCACAGACGAACAGACGGATGGACATCGCTAAATCGACATAGAATTTTATGCTGATCAAGAATAAATGCCGAATATTATCGCGAAAATATTCTGGAGAGTGTATAAAAGCCTTGGGCACGCAAACATTTTGGCCGGAGACCTTGGACATTCCAACAGGACTCAGCGACATCGCACTCAGCACTCGCCACCCAGAATGGCTACAAAATGAGGTTCCTCACTTCATTTCCAGTGCCACCAAATGACCACCTAAATCTCCGGATACCAATCCGTTGGACTACTGTGTCTGGAGTATTTTGGAATGCAAGGTTGACACTAAAAAATACCAAAGTGTCGATCACCTCAAGCAAGCGCTTCGCCGGGAATGGGCCAAAAGACCGCAGAGCAGCATTCGGGCAGCGTGTGTCGGTTTCATTGGCCGTTTGAAGGCCATAATTCGTGCCAAAGCTGGCCAATTCGAACAAATCTAAACTTATTCTAAAATGTGATGCTATTTCCGACATTTTTTGGTTTGATTCAATAAAAATTAAAAAAAAAAATGTAAAAATTATGGCGTTTGACTTTGTTGCAGCTTTTTTATCTCACCCTGTATACTTGCCCTTCTTCTGGTTCCCTGTCACAAAGATTCGAAATTTTAATCCCCGGTCCATTTTTTTTTGTAACATCCTCCACAAGGAGATAACATTTCTACAAATCTAGAATTCTATACAAAATGGAACCTTAAGCTTTATCAACTAGAAATTCATTTAGCTATGACCAGACCTCCGCAAAAACTCTCTTGAATTTGTACAAAGAGTGAAACTCACTGAAATTCGAGCGGAAACGCTCTTGTAACTCGGAAAAAAAACGAGTAAACCCAATTTTTCGATGTCACTTGAATGGAAGTGAGCATGTTTTCCTCGTGTTTTGAGTGGGAGCAAGATTCGTACGACATCGAGCAGATTTTACTCTTGCTTTTATTTTTTGTCATACCCTTGTTGTATTATCCCTCTCTCTCCACCTTCAGCGTTTTGGCTCTCTTGCCGAGTACTCTTTTAGTTTTTGTCATACCGTTGTTGAATTATCCCTCTCTCTCCACCTTCAGCGATTTGGCTCTTTTGCCGAGCTCTCTTTTAGTTTTTGTCATACCGTTATTGTATTATCTCTCTCTCTCCACCTTCAGCGATTTGGTTCTCTCTCTCGTAAAGGACTACCACTCTTCGAGCAATCCCTGAGTGAAAACGAGAAAATCTGTGCTATGGCTATGGCTTTAAACCGTGTCCTTTGAGGTTCTAGATACACATATACATATTTCAATTCTTAAATGAAATATTCCACTTATACTTATACCCATACAAATTTGAGGAATTTTGATTTTTTCCGATTTTCTGCAAATTGTCTAAAAATTACACAGTGTTACAGCCAAATTGAGGTGTGGGAGATTTCAAGTGGATTTTATTTACAATACTCGGTTCTGTAGCACTTCAAAAAAAAATCTCTTTGATTTTTCTAAGAGGTTTCAACATTTTTCACACGGCCGATATATTAATTTTATGTCTATCTGCTTGTTTCGAATATTAGAGCTCATATGTCTGTTATGCCTATGTGTTGCTTTACACATTCCAGACGTACACACGCACTTTTTGTATAGGATTCTAAAACTCGTGTTTTGTATTCAATTTCTGTAACCAAAGATATTAATGTTAATTTTTTTTGTGAAAAGTAAATAAATGCCCAAATCTGTACGTGCCAAATATAATTAAAGGAAATTTGGAAAACTTAGAAAACTAAGAGGTCGTATTAAACAAACATCCGTATCCAACGAAAGAAAATGGACAGCATGAAAAATATTTTGGAAATGTAAATTATTGCAAAGTCACAAATTGGGCCAATAGATCAATGACTTGCCGTGGTGATCAGAAAAAATATTAAAATAAAAATAAATTAAATAAAAACTAATCAACATAATGTAAATCTATATGTGATTTGAAATTGAAATAAGGTATTAAATCGTAATTTAATATTTTCAATATTGTCAAGAGTTTATTCACCGATTGTGAGTCACGAAAAATATCTCAAAAAGTTATCTATCTATCTGTCTACCCTGGATTTTAATTTTGTAATTTTTCTTTATCGTAAATATTTGAAATATGTCTGTGACAGTCACAAGTATCAATTAATACCCCGGAGTAATTAATGAGTCTTGTAAATGCCAAAATGTTGAAACGTAAAATTTTCAAGTGGAAAACTTCCGTTGTGTTTTTTGTTTGTTTTAATTTTTGAGGTTATTAGGTGACAAGTGTTACATTTGTCGGAGATAAGATCGTGGGGTTGTGACATTAAAAGTTACAACTCATTGCTTAAAATTTAATAGAGATGATCAATAAAAAGTACTGAAAGGTACTAAATAAGTATAAGTATAAGTACAAGTACAAGTACAAGTACAAGTACAAGTACAAGTACAAGTACAAGTACAAGTACAAGTATAAGTATAAGTATAAGTATAAGTATATATAAGTATAAGTATAAGTATAAGTATAAGTATAAGTATAAGTATAAGTATAAGTATAAGTATAAGTATAAGTATAAGTATAGTATAAGTATAAGTCTAAGTATAAGTATAAGTATAAGTATAAGTATAAGTATAAGTATAAGTATAAGTTAAGTATAAGTATAAGTATAAGTATAAGTATAAGTATAAGTATAAGTATAATATAAGTATAAGTATAAGTATAAGTATAAGTATAAGTATAAGTATAAGTATAAGTATAAGTATAAGTATAAGTATAAGTATAAGTATAAGTATAAGTATAAGTATAAGTATAAGTATAAGTATAAGTATAAGTATAAGTATAAGTATAAGTATAAGTATAAGTATAAGTATAAGTATAAGTATAAGTATAAGTATATAAGTATAAGTATAAGTATAAGTATAAGTATAAGTATAAGTATAAGTATAAGTATAAGTATAAGTATAAGTATAAGTATAAGTATAAGTATAAGTATAAGTATAAGTATAAGTAAGTATAAGTATAAGTATAAGTATAAGTATAAGTATAAGTATAAGTATAAGTATAAGTATAAGTATAAGTATAAGTATAAGTATAAGTAAGTATAAGTATAGTATAAGTATAAGTATAAGTATAAGTATAAGTATAAGTATAAGTATAAGTATAAGTATAAGTATAAGTATAAGTATAAGTATAAGTATAAGTATAAGTATAAGTATAAGTAATAAGTATAAGTATAAGTATAAGTATAAGTATAAGTATAAGTAATAAGTATAAGTATAAGTATAAGATAAGTATAAGTATAAGTATAAGTATAAGTATAAGTATAAGTATAAGTATAAGATAAGTATAAGTATAAGTATAAGTATACGTATAAGTATAAGTATAAGTATAAGTATAAGTATAAGTATAAGTAATAAGTATAAGTATAATGTACTAAGTAAAGTATAAGTATAAGTATAAGATAAGTATAAGTATAAGTATAAGTATAAGTACGTAAGTATAAGTATAAGTATAAGTATAAGTATAAGTATAAGTATAAGTTAAGTATACGTATAAGTAGTAAGTATAAGTATAAGTATAAGTATAAGTATAAGTATAAGTATAAGTATAGTATACGTATAAGTATAAGTATAAGTCTAAGTATAAGATTACGTATAAGTATAAGTATAAGTATAAAGTATAGTATAAGTATAAGTATAAGTATAAGTATAAGTATAAGTATAAGTATAAGTATACGTATAAGTATAAGTATAAGTATAAGTATAAGTATAAATATAAATAAAATAATAATATTTATTTTTTGCAGGTTCCCGTTATTTGATATTGTATTTAAGCATATCCAGCTGCAATACAATACCATGTGTCATGTATCGTGGATCCACGGTGCAGGTGAATGTTCTATTCGATGACGATGGTAAGTGGCTCTCCTCATAAGTGAAATATCTCCATTGACTCCAAATGTTATTTTCTTGTTCTGCTTTAGGAACCAACACCACATATCTGAAACATGAAGTCCATTGGATATTTAATGCCATTAAAACCTACGCCAACATCAGCCCTGACCCTTGCGATGGAGATCATGAATGCATTTCCAATGAAACGGATGGCAAGACGTATTATGCCGTTGTCCATGTCAACAATACCCTACCGATGGTATGTTAAGCACCTTCTTGGTTGGTTACAATTGCTGAAATAATAATTTATTTGTATTTGTTATTGCAGGTCCGCGGTACCATGATGTGGCAGGCTGTCAATGAATACAATCAGGATGTCATCTGTTTCAAAGTCCCCGTTTACATAGAGTTGCCGCAATAAAAGAGAAAAAAAAAAAACTGTTTAAGCATATCAAAATAAAATGGTTATTTTTTCAGAGCGGGATAAAGGGAGGTCTCTATATATGCACATAATACAAAATCTGTAGATCTTTAACTGTCTGTTTTGACAAAGTTTTTACTCCCTCAGGGCTATGGCTACTGAGGGTCTATTTATATGAGAGGGAGTGAAATAACTAACTGACTGGGTGAGAATCAACATCCAGGCGAAACGGCTGAAATTAGAATCTTGAAATTTTGGGTAAAGGTCACTCTTGGTCCGAAGAGGTCAGATAAAGCTGGGTTTTTGTAAATTCGTACTAGAATGGTACGAAAAGTATTGAAAGGTACTATATATGATACCCTTTGTATTTGAGGAAGCAATAGTGCTAGAACTCTTAAATTTGGAATGAAGCTCACTGAGACAGTGCAGGATAGATGTGTCAAAGGGTTTTTAGAAATTCTCACTATAAGTGTACCAAGAGTACTAAATTTTACTATATTTGGTACCATTTCATGTCATTTGAACAGTTAGAGCTAAAAACTTGAAATTCGGAATGGTAATCAAAGTTGAGGAGTAGATTTGATGTAAGGAGGTAGTTTTGGAAGTGTGTACCCATGTATACGAAAAGTACTAAACGGTACTAATTTTTGGTACAATTTGAATTTGAAGGAACGGATGTAGCTGGAATTCTGAAATTTGAAATTACCATTTCTGGTGGAGTGTAAGATTGGGATATTGAGGAAGTTTTCGAAATTTGTACATATGTGCTCAATAAGTACTAAATTGTACTAAATTTGGCGCAATTCGAATTTTGGAGGAACTGTTGGAGCTGGAATCCTGAATTTGAAATTAACACTAGTGACGGAGAGTAGGATTGCGGTATGGAGGTAGTTTTCGAAATTTGTTCTTATGTGACCGAAACGTACAAAATGGTACTAAATTTGGTACAATCTTGATGTGGGTGAACCGATAGAAATTGGATTACTCTGGCATTGTAGGACTGAGATATGTACGAAGTTTTGGAAATTCGTACTAAATGGTACTAAATTTGGTACAATTTAAATTTTGGGAGATCCGGTAAAGTTGGAATCCTGAAATTCGGAAATAAGATTTATATTGTGATACTGGTAGCGTAGCCCGACGCCAAGGAAGTGGACGGAATAAAACAGCAACATCAGCAGAAAATGGTTCGAAAAGTAAACAAGCGACTTGATCGAAACCCGAAAAATGGCTCGTGAGCTGAACATATCGCAATATTCCATTCGGCAAATATTGAAAAATGCCCGAGCTCAAAGCCATTGAAATTCCAAAAAGTGCAAGAACTTACACCGCAACAGAAAGAAAATAGACTCAAAAGAGCTAAATAGTTGCTTCGCTTGGCCGAAAGTGGTGAAAGGCCGAATTTGGTTTTCTCCGATGAGATAACATTCGTTGTCCAGCAGTTTGTAAAAAAAACAAAATGATGCCAAAGAGGTTAGCTGAAAATGTGCACCTTCGGTTGGCCACCAGAACTCAAGCACCGGCCATGGTGATGGTGTGGGCCGCCATAACAGCCAATGGTCGCTCTCCGCACTTATTAATCGACAGTGACATTAGAATAAATACCGACTATTATCGCAAAAATATTCTGGAAGGTGTATTAAAGCCTTGGGCATGCACAAATTTTGGCCGCAGACCTTGGAAATTCTAACAGGACTCAGTACCATCGCACTCAGCACGCGCCACCCAAGAAGGGTTACAAAATAAGGTTCCTCGCTTCATTTCCAGCGCATAATGGCTACCAAAATATCCAGATACCAATCCGTTGGACTATTGTGTCTGGAGTATTTTGGAAAGCAAGATTGACACTACAAATTGCCAAAGTGTCGATCACCTCAAGCAAGCGCTTCGCCCGGAATAGGCCAAAATACCGCAGAGCAACATTCGGTCAGCGTGTGACGGTTTCTTTGACCGTTTGAAGGCCATTATTCGTGCCAAAGATGACCAATTCGAACAAATCTAAACTTATTCTAAAATTTGATGCTAATTCCGACATTTTTGCTTTCGTTCATTAAAATTAGAAAAAAATTAAAAATTATCGCGTTTGACTATGTTGCAGTTTTTTTTATCGCACCCTGTGGTCGAAATCTGGCACGTTGTAATATTTATATCAGCCTTAGGTCAGTTATGAATTGGTCAATATTGGCCTACTGCTTCGGAAGGATTAACAGTTTGAATAATCATAACACAAGGCTGGGGGTATACATCTGTCGAAAATCCCCACAGATACTATTTACTTGTTATCAGTATTAATTCGTGAAACAGCGGCCGAAATGCGTGGTGGCCAATATGAGGAACAGTCGCGGTCAATATTTGCTTCGAATAATTTACAGACATTAAATTTTATGGATGTACCAGCAATTCATTTGATGTGCTTTTTTACTTAACTGTCACCCTTTTAAAAAACCTCCCTTTATTAAATAAAAAATAAATTTTATTTTAAACAATTTCCTTTTTTAAAATTCAATTTGAATTTAAACCGTTTATTTATCGCAGGCACAGCACCACCACTGTAAGTTAACATTTAGCCACAACAATAATTCCCATACATTAACACACACAAGCTCATATACGCACCCACAACACTTCTAAGAGTGGAGTTAAGCACTGCTCTGTTAACATTTTCCCAAAACATAAACACAACAGAAGAAGCGAAGAAGAACCCCCACACAAGACAGCAGTCGGCAATCGAAACGACAGCAGCAACAATCAACGAAGTCAACGACGGCAATGAGAAGCAACAGCAATTCGATAGCAGCAACAACAACAAACCATGTGAGGGCTCCCCAAAAAACGAAAACAAAACACAACAAGAAGGCAAACACACTCAGAGCACACTCATTACACACATGTAAGGCGATGTCGTTAGCAGAGCGCCAACTACTCAGTTGAGTTATGGTGTGTGCGTGTGTGTTTGCTGTGTTGTGTTGTGCTTGCCTTTATATTTTGCCATGCATTGTGTGTTGCTGCGTCGTCTCGGCTTTGCGTCGACGCCAACTGCGAAACTGTTGACAGCAACAGCAATAGTGCTTGTTTTGAAAATTACGATCGATCAGTTTGTTTTCGCAGGAGCAACAAATTGGTCGTGTTTTAACGAACGGGTTGGTTGCATACATAACACAAAAAAGTGAAAAAGGTGGAAGAAGAAGAAGAAAACAGCGGCCACGAAAGTGTACGAAATAAACGGACATCGGGACAACAAGTAGAACACACAAAAACAAAAATAAAAAAGATAAACAAACCGCCTCAAAAAAGAAAAAAAAAAAAGAGTAGCACCACACAATAACAATAAATTAAAGAAGTGGCGATCTAATTGCGGCAAAACCGAAGAAGAACAACAAGAAGAGGTTTCTTATATAGAACACACGCACACACACATTTACCCACTCTCACATCCATTTAACACTCAGTGATTTTGTTCAGGCACGCATTTCAAGCTCTGAAGAAATACGAAGCGAAATCGACCATTGAATTTGCAACAAAACACTTTTGCATTGCTGTAAATCAAAAATAATTCGTAAAGGAACAACAACAACAAATTTGCAACAAAATAAAACGTTTCAGTTTTCAAAAAAAAAAAAAAACAACAACAACAACAGGAACAACAAAACAAATGTGTAATGCCTTTTAACGATTGTTGTTGTTGATGTCGGTGGCGGAGGCGATGATGATGATGCAGTGCCATGAAGTGCGGTTCGTCATGGTGGTGGCGGGAAGGTGCGGTGCGGTGCGGTGCGGTGCGGTGCGTTGCCGTTCAGCGTAGCAGTGTTACGGCGGGTTTTCTTCTTGTCGTAAATTTGCATAGAACACATTTAAATTGAACGCAATTTATTGATTTTTTCTTAAGAGAGAGAGACACACTATCGGGCCATTGAGACCAAAGAAAAGCTCTGAGGGGGTTATACGTGTATCCAACCAAGCAGCAGAAACAACAGCAACATCAACTTACAAACGGACAGACAGACAGACACACTGACAGACATAAACAAACATCATGTGTGACACAGACAGACACCGACACTTAAGTTGTGGGTGCGAATGTTGAGGTCTCTTCGAAGTAGAAGTAGTGCCACACAAAACAACAACAACAAACACAAGAAACTAAAGACCACATCTCTGCCGCCACCCCATTTCTAGTCCCCTGTTCATTCAGTCGTTGATTCATTCTTTCACTAACTACTCCACGTTGCAATTGCAAGGAAGCTCAGAGGTTTGAAGTGTCAAATAATAAAAAAAAAAAACAGAAAAAAAAAAAACACAAACAGAAAACGGAAAACAAAAGTGACAACAAAACAAGCCTAACAGTTTTAATTAAGTGTAATAATCCTTAAAATAACAAATGAAACAAACTCGCACACACACGCATGTATACATGCAGGCACAGACACACACACACACCGGGGGCCTACACAGGCCATATGCTGGCATTGCGAACACTCCAAGCAAGCATTGGCGGCAATACCCCCCAATAAGCAGCTGTGAGTGAGTGCGTGTGTTCACATGACAAACAAGAACAACAATGTCAACGGCTAAAACAAAGCTCTCTAGAGCTATTCAAACAAAAAAAAAAAAAAAAAACATCAGCAACAACAACAAACCTTGCCTTGTCTCCTTGCCTTCTTGTCGTCCTATGCGAGGCGGACAGGCTTTTTGGTTCGTCTATCATTTGTCGGATGGTTGTTTAGTTGCCTGCCTGGTGGCTGCTTCAAACGAATAAATATTTTAAATAACTGAATGTTTCATCATCATGTCGTACATGCATCCACTGCATTTATCTATCAATCCCCAACGAACCAATCATCCATCCAAACATCTACCCATCCAACAAATATCGACACTCATCCGTCTGCCTATAAATGAGGGGATACAGTGGTTTCTAATTTTTGGGTTATTTGGAAATGGAGATAACACTTTTGTGAGAATTTTCAATTTTTTTTCCCAAAATTATAGGGAAACTCGAAAGTGGTTTCAATTTGATATCAGTCGGGACAAATATGTGTATATATATATCCTAGTC